TTAGTCTGTGAAAACAAAATGTACATTTACGATCGGTATCCATCCTATGGTATCTATACGTATATATTCCCTTATAGCGCAGAATGAAAGCATATTCTGTAAATCTGACCCTTGCTCCGATTCGTAGCGCCTGTAGTTCGTCTCGGAGTTGTGAAGACGGCGCACCGCTTCCTGTAAACGACACGGCAAAGAAACACACTTTAATAAAGCTGTTTCTGCTCACTTGTAAGGCTACTAGGCTACTCTTAGCTTAGCTTGAGGCTACGCTACTCTTAGCTTAGCTTGCAGTCATCGAACGTATTCTTACCGCTATCGTGGGATCGTGCGCCCGTCTCTTCTTCTTTGAGTCAGTTCCTCTCCTCCATGGACAGAAACCCGCAGAGTTCCGAACGCTCCAGTGGAGCGAACCGCTCGTTGATATCGGCAGTTTGTTGTTGGAGTTGACGAGACGATCCACTGAGAGCTTTCAGCAGCTTCTTCTGTCTGTCTGCGGACTGGCCGAAAGTTGGTGACCGCGGAGAGGAGTTGAAGGCGAGTTGAACGCGAGACGTCGTCCCGCCATTATTCACGAAGCAGCAAAAACCAAACAAAGGAACTGGAGATACAGTTCTTCTGAATATAGTAACACACGTGTCTGTTTGTATGCTCGCCTTGCAAGTACTGCTGTATCAGTCATGCCTATGACCTCACACGTGATTGGACGAGGAGTCTAAGGGTCCTCCAATCACATACGAGGTTATTGTTATACGGAAGGACCAGTATTTTAGGAAGACAAATGGTTGGGACTTTGAAACAGCTGATATGCTTTATGTAAAGCAGTGTTTTGGTGTCAGCAGAACGACTTTCCCTAGAAATCTGTACAGTGGTGCCTCTTCTCCATTCCACCAGACAATCTTGAGTCTGACATACATGGAATGTTGACAATGTATCATCAGATGTACCCTTGTGTCACTGAGGTTGAATGTTTTGCCATGACATGTAAACGGGTAACATATATGAATGTAACTTACTCAATCGATAGATGCAGAGCAGAAAGGTCAGCATATGTTCATGCTAAGTGGTGTGGAAACACAACAGTTTTGAGGAACCCGTCCTTGACCCTCTAGCAGAACTACGACCAGCCATTATAAAGCAGTTTATAGTTGTCAATGTTTTGTCAAAGGGTACGGCATTTAAACATGTTCTTGCACAAGTTTCCTGGCTTCATCTCCACCCGGACAGACATTTTTATGGAAAGCCAATAGAAGTTTGGGGCTTGCAGGGAACAGACACGTCGTACCCAGCATCATTTCTGCCAGTTGAGCGCATTGATAGAAGATGTGTGGTTAATACATCCTCTGTGCATTTAAGTAAGACCAAAGAAAAGGTCACTGTAGTCCTGCCACTATGCACTGTAGTTGAGCTCTAGGAGACTGTGATCTCTGCAGACCCCTCATGCTGATTCAAATGTTGTTTGCATGGAATGCTCATTTTATCTTGATTAAAACTAATTTTTTTAGGAAGTTATTTTGTGTATCTTTTTTTACATAACATTTGCCATTGCTAATGGCGTACACAGTAATCTAGCATATTTGAATTAAATAAATCAATTAAAGCTAAAATGTAAGAGTCTATAATTAGGCTACTGAGCCTGATCTATTTGTACCTTTCTTACCTTTTAAAAAAATGTCACCTGGGCTAAAACTCCCTCTGCGACCCTGATTTGCATTTGTATAGCTCACAGCATTGTCATTTACATGTCAAAGCCTCCCCTAGAAATAGGAGGAGGGGGGTCATGGGGGGACAACTGCCAAGGGAGGCCCACGTCAATTTCTGACAATTTACGGCAGTTTTCGGCGTTGCCCGCAAATTGCCGCAAACCTGAAATTCCACGACAATTTACAGTGCCGCATACTGCCGAAAATCCCACTTTTCATGCAGTGAAACCTCCACAAAAACATATTTGTAAGTGTTGACATGAGAATGCAAGCATATATTTTTGGTGTGTGTGTGTGTACCTGGGGCTGTCCAGTGTATGTGCCTCTCTACCAGCCAGTGTAGTGGCAATGACTGGTGTTATCACCCCTAACGCACAATAGCCGGGACGTACAGACAAAATGTCACTTGACAGGCCCGGCATCTCTCTGTGTGTCAACCTCCCTTCCTCTCCCTCTCATCCTTTCCTTCTTTAGCTGAAAGGGATGTAGTGACATCGATGAATGACAGAGCTGAAGCATGAAAAGCTGCGACACAAGGGCACAATCCGTACGTTTGTGACTTCACATCTCGGGAGACATGAAAGCGCCCTATCGGATAGATAATTGGCAGTTGCGGCAGATGCGGCTCCTCAAAGCGAGGAAAAGACAGTAAAAAGCTGCAAACCGTCAAACGCAAAGAGGTAAATTGAGGATTCTGGATATGTTGGGTTCTTTTTGAATCCATCGGAGGACGGTAGCCCAGCAGGCGGAGCTTTCACAACACAGAGGATATTTCATTCCCGGCAGGATGGAGCCGTCCTGATTTTGGCTGCTCCCCTGCTGCATTTCCACTCGGAGACATGAGAGCATGTGACAGTGGAGGAGATGGATGACACTTCTGACATTCACAACAGTATGACCATGCATGATTCACATTTGGTATAGTGTACTTTAAATAACTATGATGCGTGTGAGGTCTTCCTATCTGTCTTGTTACCTGCAAACCCACCAAAAAAAAGCAGAATGTTTATTTTTATGTAGACCAGACTGGTGCTTTCCACTTTGCATAGCATCCATTAAAAAATCCCTTATATTCCCGAAGAGGCATTGCCACCTGTCGTACCTTACAACAGAGTGAACAAGATTTTGGAATTGCAAATTGAAAACAGCCCTGGGCAATCGGCCCCTGTTAAGCTGATAGGAAAGTCAGATACACTGGTTTTAAAAGCTGGAAAATGGGAGCATTCCTCGGAAGCATCTGTCACTGTCACCCCTCACCATAGCCGTGCTCCCACGGAAAGGTGCCACTGGGATGATACACAGCAGCTGTCATGTCAATGTGACGGTTGCAAGACAAGTCACCAGTTCCAATTCACAGGAGGCCGCTCACTCCACGTCGTTGTTTAAAGCAAGTGATGTTCTGCTCGTCCGGCGACGACTGTTTTTCAAATGTTTCGTCGGATGGCAGCTCGATCACCACCAGAAAAGGTATGAAGGAGATGGGGAAGGGGGGGGGCTCAGGGGATTAGACACATGCATGCAGAGGCTTCTGTGTGGATGCCCGAGAGGGGAGGCGGCAGTGAGATGGATGTTGACTCTTTGAGGAACCTCACGGCACACGGCTGCCGGGACTTGGACATCATTTGCTGCTGGTCTGGGAAAACAAGCCGTGAAGCCATCCTTCATTGTTGCCCTCGCTGTCCCATCTGCCACAGGCCAGAATGAAAAGAACCTTTGCGTGTCTATGCGTGTGCGACGGTTTGGATGGTGGATTGTATACGTAAGTAAGCAAGCTTCCTTCTGCATGAAACACAAAGATGCAGGATGGGCTTCAAATCCTGCCCAAAGGAAAGTCCACACGCACAAAAAACATCGGCACATGCCGGCCACAGGTTCAGTTCAGTTGACGATGAGGGCTTGTGACTCACAGGGCTTACTTTTAATTAGCTACATGGTCATTAAGAGGTGTTAATTGTACGCATTGTGTCAACGCTGCGTCAAAGTCAGCTAAGGACGAGACTCGACAGAAACTGTGGTCTAGTGGCTCGCCAGTAATGCGGTGTGACCCTGAGTAATTTAAATATGATAATTGGAAGTCCCCCACTCCCCCTCCACACACACACACACACACACACACACACAAGTCTAGGCCGGACAGAAAGCGATACAGCACCCTCTTTTGGTGGGCTCTCTGCAGGGATGTATATTGTCATTAAAGGGTTACATCATAATCAGTACACCTATGCAGTGGAAATCTCCATTGTTTACGGTTTGGTGATGGTCCAAGTGCAAATTGTAAAGTGCTGCACACTAATGATCCATCTGCACCACTGAGCTTATTCTGTGTTACGTGGCAATTTGGTGGGGGAAAAGGGCAGCATTGAGGCCCTTTTCTCAAGCCAGGAGAAAGATTAATAATTCATTCAAAAGCAGCAGAAGAGTACAATTCAGCCATTTCCATGAATAATGCATAAGTGATGGGTAAAAAAAAAGAAAAGTTGTCTGATTTTCTTGTTCCATTTGCCAGAGGTGAAAGCGAGTATGAGCATTTTTTCCGTTTATTGAAATTGGCCACTGAGAGCAGCGTAATCAAGTCACAAAAGTAGCATAAAATGACATATATATATATATATATATATATATATATATATTATTCATTGTATCTGTTATCCTCGTTGCAAAGTGTATTCTACAATATCAAATTAGGTCATTGAAAGTCACTGACCAGAGGTTCTCTGAGGCTTTTATCATGTGTCATGATAAAAGCCTCAGAGCCTAAGTGGGACGCCTATGCTATCACAGGACTTCCGAAGTATCGTGTCAGTGTCAGATCTATTTGGTAGAGTTATGACATTTGCCTGTGGGTTGAAACTGTAGCGTGACATAACGGATGTGCCTCAATGCAGAAAACCTTGGCTTTAACGTAGGTTCGTCTCTCAGGGATGCTGCCTTCAAGGGCTCACCAAAAAAGTGGGGTAATATCAAAATACATTTTGTTTTCTTTGTAGGCCTTCAAAAAAAAATCCTGTGAAATAACTTGTATTGAACTAAAATAAACAGTTGAGGCATGAAAACGTTCGTGAGCTCAATAATATACATATCCCATGATTAAGTTGCAATTATCTGCTTACCTGGTTTGGTTACCGCGTAGCCTGTACTACAGGCTGTTGGGTATTTTCTAAACCTAACTAAGTAATTTTGTCACCTAATCCTAACCCAATTGAACACTGAAAACAGAAAACCCGTATCTCCTTTTCGACATCCAGAGTTTGACCCACGGAGATTGATATACGGTTTAACGTAGAGTCTAAAGCCCTGCCCTCAGAGGAAGGAATTCTTCACAGGACCGTGAAGGCACCATTGCTGTCACTCTCCGCTTGCCTGTGAAAATGGCTGCTGCTGTTGTTGTCCGAAGGTTAGCGGCTCTGTCAGGGGCTTCGGCAGTGGCAGCGGGGGCGTACGGGGCTCACGGTAGGACACCATCATTAGTTTTACCCGCACCGGTCTCTCGATTACGATATGCAACGTTACACAGCCCGAAAGGGCTGCAATGTCAACGCTTACCATTCCAGCCTCCGTTCAAAAAAATCCCAATTTAAGTAAGGTTTCTGTATCGACGCAGCTGCATAACAATGAACAAAACAAATTCCGGTGGATTATATTTCGTGGCATTGCGAATTATTCGGCATTCAAAAGAAACCCCAAACATTGCGTTGCTTTAAGCAAAATACGTAATTGTGTAATCAAGGTGATTCCTGTTGTGAGCGATGGCGTAAGCCCGATAGTTAATGGAATCAGCTGTTTCTGGTGTAGCCAGACCTTTTAAAGTGCGTCTATGAGGCGGCAGGTTTTATTAGGGATACTCCGACCCTGCTACCTCTCGTTTCAGGCACATTGATGCACATTAGGTTACAGACCTCCCCGTTGAGAACGTTTTGCTTCCCTCTGAAAATGTTTTGTTTTGTTAGATTTGATTAAGACCAAAATTCCCAACTCAAACTTGAGGAGATGAACGTCTAGGAATGGAAATCCATGATCCGAATAGTCTCTTATAGCTCCTACCCACACTTGGTTCTCCTAGAACTCCCTTGTTGAGAACCGCTGGTGTAAGCAAGGGGTTTGAGATCCATTAAGAATGATTACCAAAGTAGTGCATAAGTGTGTTAGATTGTGAAAGTCCCTTTAATGTTCTCTTCCATATTTGTCTCTTTAGGTTTCAAAAACAGTGACCCTGATGACTACCAGAGAGTGGTATGTACACAATAGGCCTACTGGGAAAACTGGGAAATTTAGTTTTTTTTTGTTTCTTACAACCTTTTAAATCTTGATATGCAGTTTTGCAATGATTTTACTTTTTTTTTCTGACAGGAAAAGTCTTTAAAAATCAGCCGTATGAGAGACATGGCAGCGTGTGCTTAAAGAACACAGAACACTTTCCCCAGCCAGACGTGGTTAGACAAAACAACAAATTAAGCGAAATATAAAGGTTTTATTTCTCTGTAGGGTTCTTTCCATAATGATATCAGATGCTAATTTAGATCTAGCAGCCTGTTAAGTGGCTGCTGTCTGCTGCGGCCTCCCTCCATACAATCAATGACAAAAAAGACTTGTCCCCATTAGTCACTTTGACACAAACAAATAGAAATATGTTACCCTATATATTCTGTGTTGTAGTCTATTTACACTGTACAGTAGTAGCCATGTCCTTGCTTTTCTCAGCAGAATCTTTCTAAGTGCTCTGTGTGTCTGTATCTCCAGCTATTTGAAACTGCCAACAAGTACCATTTCTACCACAGCCTGGCCCTGCTGGGTGCTGCCCACTCTAAAAAGCCTGCTGTGGTGAGTATGGAAGCCCAATAGAAACTCTCAGGCCTGGATGCACTTGAATGTAACCAGTGTGATGGAGTCATCATGCCATTGCCTGCCTGCCCAGACTACCCACATTCAGACAACCAGAGTTCCTTTAAGCAAGAATTACAAAGCCTTGGCTAAGGGTTCTTCTTGTGTGTGCAGGCTTCATCACACCAAGACTAATCGAATCCCCAGCACATGGCGAGCCTGCAGTGCCAAGTATTGGAAGTGTGAAGGTTATATAAAGTCATTAACCACAAAAGATTTGATTGGAAAATCAACAAACTGAAAAGGAGATGCGTGCCAGATTAGTTGTGATCCATGTGGTGGCCAAATCAATCAGGATGTCTTGGCTGTCACATCTAGTTAGAGCTTTGGGAGAGTTTGACTGCAGGCTCAGTGTCTCCTGTGGGAACATTCTCCAATTCAGAAGGAACTATCCTTATCAGTCCACTACTTCTGGTGATGGCAACGTCCTACTAAGTGATATCTCTACATAAGAAAACCTACATCTGCAATGAGTTACTACAAACGGATAAAAAAATGTGTCCAGGGTCTCACATCCGTGTCCCTCTCAACACAGGCTGGCACCCTGCTGATAGCAGGCATGGGGATGTTCTGTGGCTCCCTGTATCACCAGGCCATGACCGGGGACCCTGGCCTTCGAAAGGCGGCTCCCATCGGGGGCATGGCCATGATCGTCGGCTGGCTGGCTCTGATTCTCTGAGCCGTGACCGCCGGCCCCCCTTCAGCAGGGCCCCTACGCGGCGCTAAACGGGCAGGCGTTCAATGGAGGAGCTGGAGAGCTTGTGAGAGTTGGCTGAGGGTTTTGTCACTCATCGACGCCACGCCCTGTGGAGGGTGTTCGCAGGAGATAAAGTCACAACAGGATTAACTCTTTTCTTTTGTCTGTTTGTGACAGAGTTTAAACTCAATGGTGTAAAGGTGTAAAATTTCTTATGGCAGGTCCATTGTCTTCTAGGAAGGAAACACAATCTTGTGGTTTATTTGCTTTTGCTAAATTGCCTCTTACTGCAGTAAATGCCGTTTCTACATTTTATGTATGGGAAAAGAAATTATGTAGGGGAAAGGAATGTGAAGGATTTACAAATGAAATATATATAAAAAAAAAATCCTCTATGTTCTTGGGTTGGCCAGTTTTTTCACACCAATGCGTCTCCCGTTCGTCTGAGTGCTCGTCCTCCGGTATCGCCGTTTGCAGCTTTCTCCAGGGCCGCTCATCCAAACCGCTCAGCAACAGCAACGACTCCACCCTGCACCACCATAGGCACCACACCCGGTTAAGGGAAGGGGAAGTTGGTCAGTGAGCGGCTGTCAAAAACTTGAATGAGATAATGTGTCTATAAAGACATAGACTTTAATTTGATGGATGATCGTATTCATGCTCCCCAGAAGATGAACCCCCCCCCCCCCTCCTAACATCTGTTTTAGTCGGTGCCACCAAGCCGGTCCTCCTGAAACAGGCTCCATACACAATTTTACTTGTAAACTGCTCAAACTAAAATAAACATGAGGATTTTTGCAAAAGATAAACCAAAGCCACCAAGGAAGCAAAGGACTTTTTCTCTATGAACTTACTGAAAAGCTCAGACGGCTTTGTTTTCTGCCGTAGAGAGGGAAGTTTGTCCTGAAGCTTGCCCTTGTTTTTACACACTACAGCTTCATTCAGCTGTGATTGGCAGAGTTTGCAGACCGGGTGAGAACTAAGCCTAAAAATACGCTCTACCTATTTTTTTTTTTTTACATATGTGCACATTATTGTTTTGTTTCAATAGCTTTCCTCGCAGTTAGCACTACAGAATACAGCAAACATTTGTTCTACCGACACAGCACTCTGTGGGACACCCCTAGTGCTGATTTGGGTACGTGCATGCATCAAAGCCTGCTGGAAGAGTCTACAAGTCCAGCAATACTGAAATGCAAACGAATCCCAATTGGCGAGCGCCAATGCGAGCGGGGCGTGGTTCCTTAGTGGGTGTTTCCAGTGGACGGTGGATAAACTCCACCTAAAACAGTCAATGTTAAACCGTCTCTCGCAGCGCTGAACGTCTTCACAGCCTCAAGCGTTTGATCCTTTTAAGTAGCAGAACACAAAAGGAGTTCATTATCCATGGCCTCCCCTTAGCCGGGGCCGTGTTCCAACCACTGCGCGTTAAAATTGAAAGTGAAATCCATTGAAACACTTATTTGCCTTCCTGACTCTGTGCCCACGAATGGGAACCTTTTTTGAAATGGCTGCATAAATCTCCGGGTCAATTTCTCGGCACTTGAGCCGCGGCGCCGCACAGAAAAGAAAGCACCATTGACTGAACACGTTGCCAATGTGCTCTCGATCACGACTCATAAAACCCTCATTAGAATCAAATAGCCATTGGGAGGAATTCTGCTATTCCAGGACCAAGCAATCACGCCGCAAAGAAAAGCCCCGACACCCCGTCACATATGTCTGACTCACAACTTTCAAGTTCATGGCAGACGCACGACTGGAATCTACAGTGGGAATAGACTATTTAAGGCGCCGCCATCACATTTTCAGCACTGCGTTAAATACTTCATAACCGTGTGATATTCATGTGATTCTCCGACAGAAATCAGCAGGACATTTTGACCGGTTTCACACTGCAGTCTTATTTCAGGGTTATTTATTTCTCTCCTGGCAGTTGAGAGGGATACTGTTAAAATCCAGCCGGATCAAGATGTCCCACATTTAATGTGTGAGCACCTGAGATGAGGACAAATGGAAAGTGAGACGCTGAAGTTACTGTAAAGGGGATTAAGCCAGTCACGGCTTAACCTCCTTTACAGTAACTTTAGAAGTTAGTCAGACAGAGCTCTTCATTCCTCTTCACACCATTGATTTTTACTCAGTTTACAGTGTAAAATTCAATGTGGCCGTTCTTAAGATCCCCAGACGAAAAGACCCTTTCATTTAAAAATTATAGCTAATCTATTGCAGCGAAGGTCCACCATAAAAAAACAATAAAGTTGGCTTGGCAAAAACCTTAACCTTCCAGACACAGCTGTGTTGATGCTAGAAGCTACTGAAGCTCTTTAGCACACAGCTGAATAATAATGTAAACGTTATTTTCCACAGGAGACCTTTTCTGGCCAATGTAGAAAAAGCACAAGTGTTACTACTAACTCTGTGTTAATGTCCCGACAACATCATGAGAGGGAGCCAGAATGAACGACATAGGCAGTTTTCCCCACTGTGATGAAAAGGGAAAAAAGTACTGTGAAAAAGGCCTATTGAGTTCACCTGTGATGATTTAAATGTGTTTGTATTATAAGGCGTTAATGATCAGGGTACAAAGACGAGGGATTCATTCCTGTTGGATTTAATGTAGTTTGCAGGCGCTGCATGTACCACACACCATGAGGCGGGATGCTCCGCAGAAGGAACCGTCTTGGTAGAGAGGCTGTCTGGGCCTTTGGCTCCGCATTAGTCCGTACTGTAGTGAGCGTCAGAGAAAACCAGAAAGCACAGACACTTTTGTTAATTACACCTTCAGGGACTTCGCCTGCATTTCACCATCTTTCCTATCCTTTTATTTCTCTGCGCACAGATTTAATTGCATCATCTTCTTCCTTTGGGGTGGGAGGGGGGGGGGCCTCCTCGTTCCATTGATTTCATGGTCTGGGTCTGTTTTGCTTAAAGATGAACAGGCTGGTTGTGTGAGAATCAATAGTCACAAGCTTGTACTGCGACAGAAAGCTTGCGCTCCTCCGCATCCTCTCCTGGAGACGTGGAATGAAACACATGCCCTGGTGATTCACACGGAGGAGGAGACACACAAATAACAACACCCCTCCCCGTCCCCGTCCCCACACACGGGCAATGTATTAAAGTGCGTGCCGTATAACAGACACCACGGCAGCAGCGAATCCCCTCTCAGGCATCAATCAGGCGGCGGCTCCCGGCACAGTGAAGCAGAAGGACTTTAATGGGCGTCCCGTGCGCTCCCACATCCGCGGCCCACGCGCTGACCTTTACAAGCCACTTAAATGATGGTCAGCGTTAGCAGCCCCCCCTCTCTGATGGAGGATTCCCTCACTTCAATGGACACCGAGGCCCCACCATCACTGGCCCCGTATCACGGCTTTATACTCAATCAGTGAAGACCGGAGGATCTCGCGAGCTGATAGCAGGGAGCGGCCATTGTTGCCATGACACCATAACCACCAGCACCAGCGGCGATGAAATGTCTGGAAGGTGTTATTTAGGCAGGTGGGGGGATGGTAGGTGCTACGCTAATACCACGTCACAGTGTTTAGCAACGTGTGAGCTTCATGAGTCAGAAGGAAACACGAAGCACATCTCTTCACCAATGTGTTTTCGTACAAACATGTTTCATAGGGTGGTAAATAGCAATGAATTTATTTCTGATCACCTTATGTTACATTTTCTGTTCGATTAACAGCCCATGCCACATGCTAATTCTATACAAGGCCCACCATACTATTCAAACAATCAACAAGCGGTAACATTTATACTCAATTAAATGCCAATGTTAGTTTTCCAGGAATGTTTAACGGAGCTCTTTCACCTGACTTGACGGAAAACACATCAATGCTATTCAGGGTTGGTTAGGAAGAAATATTAAACTTGCTTCATATCTGCCATTTTTGATGAAAGAGGAGCTAGAGAGACTCTTGAGTGATTTATCCGCGGTCAGGCTAAAAGAAAGGGCTGACAGGTCATTCTAGACACTTATCAATCCGAAGAAGTTCAGCAGTCATACAGGAAATAAATCAGTTGGAGGAAAATACGACTTCTTCCCTTCTCCCAGCAATTGGTGAACAATAAAACAGTTCACTACAATATGTTTATTTTATTTGGTATCGGAATGATAGGGAAAACGCACAAAGAGGTAATACAGATTCTTATTTCGCTTTAAATCGGTCTCTTGGTTTAAAGAAAGAATGTATTTGACATGTGGGTATAAGCATCATTAAAGGAGAGCGGTGTGCATGGAAGCAGCGTCCAGTCCCGTAAGCAGCAGGCTGCCTGAGCCGTGCCGTTCCGTGCCGTGCCGGACTCACACAGCGGACCGCTCACTCCGGCCGCCTCTCCGTCGCCACCACACGGCCTCAATCCGAATCGGAACCGCAGCCGTCACGCCGCGCCGGTACTTGTGGCGATGTGGGGCGTGCCGCGCGCACTCGTAATCCCCGGATCCTCGGGGAAGGAGCGTGATTTGCGGGACGGTGTTGTCACGGGGAAGGTGGCGCCGGGGACCTGTTGGAAATGACAGCTGAGCGAGGCGGACGGAAGCACCGGAATCACCGCAGCGGCAAACGTAGCAGATAGCGAAGCAACTCCCTCGCGTCACCGTGTAACGGGTGCGTGTGTGTGCGTGCCATGTTGGACCGCTTTAGCCGGCGAAGCTAACGGCTTCACCGTTACCCGCGAGCTAACGACACCCGAGCTGAGGGCGTGCGTGTGTGCGTAGCTGTAGATTTGGGTGTGAATGAGTGCTTGTGGTGTGCGTTCCTATGTACTCCGCTCCTACGTGGAGCGATAGCTAGCATGCTAATTTGATAAAAGCTAGTTGGCTAATAAAATAAATTAGCCGGCTGTGGGCGAGGAACCACACCGAGTGTGTCACTGTCACCTGACCCGCTAAACACGACTCCATGCCGGCCCCGCTGACCTCTCCAACGCTGCACAGGCTAACCTGATATAATATTAGTCATTATCTAATTAGCTAGTCAAATGCCGAGAGAGCAGGCTGGCTAATTTGCTCGGCTATTAGCTTAGCGGCTAGGGGCAGGGGAGCCTGCTCGCTAATTGACCTGGTTCGGAGGGGCAGAGGCCATGTTGTCATTCCACCCGGCCGAGCGGTGTTTACACGGCACGTTTCTGCCTCGTTACTCTTCACGGTTTCACACACGTATTTAAACGTGACATGATCTTGAGTAGAGAAGTTCCTTACAGAGGACACAACCCCGTGGCCACATGCACGTTTCGTTTCAACAGCCTGTAGGTTTATTTTCTTCAGCTGTGAGTCATAAATCCGCTTACGCAAAAGTTGTGCAATAAACTGTATCAGTATTCCTCTAATCAATTTTAGTTGTGGTTGCTAAACGATACAGATCGTTACCGAGGCTCGAATTCATCCGTGATTTTATGACCAGAAGACTTAACATCAGGTTGCCTGCCTGTAATTGCCACAACATCAGCAACGCAGTTCATGCTGGAATTGCCCCTCAAAGTCTCGTAATTCCCTCGAGGCTGTTGAAAACAAGGGCAGCATTATACGGCAGTGAAAACACGCAAGGACTAAATCACTCTTTAACTGTAGGATACACTTAAATAAAGGCCTACGTTTCTAAATAAACAGTTTATTTTGCTGCTGTGACAGCATAATTCCCTCAAAAAGTAACCACTTGCACTGCGTTAGCCATGAGTAAGATGCTGTTATATAATAACCTTTTATTTCTCTTCACCCCCGCAGGGTTATAGAGATGGAGACCCTGATGAGTGCGGTGGGACCGCGCTCCCCGGCCCCGGCCAAAAAGCTGTCAGAGGTGGACTTCCGGTCGGGGGCCACCCTGGAGCAGCTGTCGGCCCAGGTGTCCGAGCTGGTGGTGCTGGAGCAGGGGGACTTCGGAGACCAGACCGCCTTAGAGGTTCACACCGCCAAAGACTTTATCTTCAACATGCTCGGTATGTCAGGCAGGAAAATCGATCGATAAACTTCCATGAATGCATCCGGTTGGATGAAGCTTTCATTTGATATGGAGGTATGAATCTGATGGTCAGAGAGGAAACGACAATGAAACGAATGATCACAGATGACTTTTTTTTTTCGTACACACATTTCTCACACTGCTCTGATTCACAACCAAATAATCGGGACAACCTCATTTCTTACTTTGCTGTTTGTAAAATCCAGAAGGATTCTTTTTTTTGTGCATATATGGACGTGAGAATCATTATCATTAGAACATTCACTCCAGGTGAGTCACGGAGATTAATGAGAAGTCATTCCAAGGAACGCCCTGCGTCACACGCACTGCTTTGGACCCAGCCTCCACCGGGAGGGGCCCAGTACAACCACAGTCTGATTACGTTCGCTACTGAATGGGCCTTATCTTGCGGTGAGCTGCGCTTGCATTCAGCACACTTTATGTGGCATGATGAGTAAAATCAATTTCAGACTAGAATCATTGTGCTTTATGCAAATTGAACCCATTGAGAAGGTGAGAGGACACGTCGACGTGTCCTTCGTTCTCTGGAGGCGTGCTCTCGTTTTGCTTTTGTACGGTATTCTTCAAGTGATGGGGTGGATTTGATGTACCGTGTGGTCAACGACTGGTTGGACACAGTAGCGGATCTCTATTCTTCATTCCTGGGACTCTTCTCCGAGACGGCAACCTGTAGAGTTCCAGTGGTCGTTTTTGGATTTGCTTCTGTCTGTGCGTAGAAATTTGACAACTTGGATTCAGGCAAAAAAAGACCAAACTGCAGGATCTCATTTTGACAAAACGGGACGCGGCACATTTTATGACTCCGGTTGTGAGACGGCATGTGTGACAAACATGATAAAAGCTATGAACTTAGTCTGCCATGAAATTTAAATCTTCAGTTCCATCTCCCAGTAGACACATTCTCAAAAAACGTGTTATTATTTTTGAGGCGTGTGATTTGTATCGGCGCGGATGCAATCATTTGACACTTTCACATGTGGGCACTTGCCAATTTGATTATAACTGACATTTAGAAAGTCAACACATGTTGTGGTGTGCTGCTCTGTGCCGCCTGCTGACAACCCCCCCCCCCGTGGGAATTGGTTTTGTTAAGTGAGATATGAAGCTGTCTCAAACGTTTTCCTTTTGAATTCAGTTGAAGGGTGTTTGTTTGCCCAATAGGTGGCACTCTCCCCCCTCCCTGCTGTCATGCTTGTCCTCTCCTCTCACTACCAGGCTGCCCGTGTGCACTACACAACCCGTCTGACCAGCATCCTGAAGGGAGCGTTTCACCGGTTCACCCCTCGGCCCCTGCACGTTTCCCACTGGTCTGCACAGACATGCTGCTATTTTTTGCCTTGACTTTACTGCTCAGATGTCCATGATATTGGTGCAAAGCGCTCCGCCTTCCTCTTTGCCTGCTCCCACACGCTGTTAGTTTGAGATCTCCAGTAACTTTGTGATTCAGCTTTGAGGCTGCCTTGTTTGGCACGTCCCCAATAGTTTGCTGGTATTTTCGTACCCTGAGCCTCACCACCATGCTGTGACAGTTCTGACTGAAAAGAAAATGGGAAGAAAACAAATAGACTGACACTTACACACGCGGCGCTTGTGTTGGATTCCAGAGAAATATAAAATTATGGGGGGGGGTGGATGTTGTTTTCAGCCACCATGTTGCACCATTGTAAAATGTAGGTTTTTGTCATTGGAGTCCGGTAGCGCATGCAATGGCTACAGTTCCCCATCCAATAAGGCTGCTCGACAGCAACGGTAAAGCACGGAAACTATTCCACATGTAGCCGACACTTAAACTGGTGTCGATTTCTTTAGCTGCCCGAAATAAGATCAGCAGCTGCCCCGTCCACAGCCGTAGATCCCCGGGGTCCGGTGCTGGTACACCTGTCTGTCTGAGGTCGGCCGAGCGCCATATTCTATAGGTAGTTCAGGGCAAGTACCTCATACAAGGAACTAACTCTTTTAAGCACACAGTGGGAGCTGCGTGCCTCTCAAGGCCCTGTGGAGGATGGAAGGCAGCACTGAAAAGCAAATGTCATCCCTTAGATGCTGGAGGAGGCTCGTCATATATGGGCTGCAGAGGAAGCTGTGGTCATGGATGCTGAACGCGAGTGCCTGCGCAGGGTTTTTTGTATTAAGTTTGAGCTGCAGAGGGATCCCCACTGCTTTGGGCTCGGTCAGGGGGAAGGAATGCGATTAGACTCGCACACACACCCGTTGAATTCCTTCAGCCTGACTGATCCAAGAAGAGGCTCTTGTTTACTCTGAATTTGAGTAAACACAGCGGTTTGCCTTCAGGCAAGCGCGAATGGGGCTACTCTATACATCTTCTAGAAAAACAGAAGTCTGAATGTAGAAATACAAGAAGATCTATTGCGAGGCGCAAACAATCCCACCCCCTGTCGACTTTTCCCATCTTTAAAGTTTGATAGCCAGCTTGAGAAAGTTCAGAGGACATCTTCACCCCGAAGCATCTGAAAGCAGATTCTTTTGATGCAAGTTTTAAAAGTCTTGTCCCACATTTTGGAATGAGGAATGTGGTAATTGTTGAGTCAGATGAGTCCTTAAATGGTTGCCTCTGTCCCACACTGAGCTAAGCGTCTTTCCTCTCCGCCGGGCTTCGTCCATCAGCCCCTTTTGGTTGCCATTATTCTTCACACTTAGGCCATTTAGCCTGATGCCTGATGGGACTGAACATTGATCAGTGGAGAGGCGGTTGGACAGAGATGGGCGCTCAGCACCTGACTTGTTTTCCTCAAACTCACGAGAGGCACCAGTCAAAAGTTCCCCATGAGCTGTGATGACGAAATGAAGCCCGTCTGTGTATGAGCGACGCACGAGGACCCGCACATCCCTCTAGAATCTCAACGTGTCAACACAGTTGTGGCTCAACTACATACACTTTCTCAACTTCCCTGTAGTATTTAACTTTGAATGAAATGTCATTGCTAGCTCACCATAAAGCATCACAGCCTCGTAGGCCTTTTATCCCTCAGACATGTTTGACACGTGTATCGGATATGCTCCTCTGTTTAAATCTGTGAGGTGACATGTACTCCTTCTGCATCGCCATGTGTGCACCCATCACACTATCAAGCTGATGATCAGACCAGGATCGACTTCCCAACTACTTGTGACTTCACAAATACTTGTACCCCCCTAAAGGTGACCTAGAAACGTTCCATTCCAGCAGATGGATGTGAAAACATCCTTTTTGTGTCTTTGTACATTTGGTGTAATGAAGCTCTAATGTTCAACTGTAGGAACTTTAAGTGACACAAGTCGGTCACAATGGATCTTTCTTTGTGAACTGCAGCCTTTAATGTCGGCTGCTTAAGAATCTTTCCTCCAAACCTCTGCACAAACAATCCATCAGAAGCGATGCAAATTTGATTTTGTTTAAATCTTGGTGAAATTTGAACAATAAGAGTGGCGACTTTATTCCCATTGGGATAGTGCAGTCAGGCTGCAGCGCATTCACACAGAACGCCCGCCCCACTGCTGGGACCTCCCGCCTCACTCCCATGCTCAGAGTTCAGTTGAAGGGGGACGCACGGTTGCCGAGCGGCGCCCCCCCCCCCCCCCCCCGCCTGCCTAACGACGGCCATCGCTCCTCACCGACTCACCTTTTCTCTGCGTCGCACCTTAATTGTCGCACAGCTGGCGCGTCAGTGCGAATGCCCGCCAAAGCAGTTGAGATGATGTGAATTTACCTCCCAACCTGCTTGCACAAAGCCTCTGTAACGGATCAAGCAACACCGGTCTGCCATGTAAACAACACCGCGGAGTGTCCTGTGAATGCGCGCGGCCTCGGCCGCACATCACATCGCCCATTAAGCTGCTTACATGTTGTCTAATTAAACATGACTTGGAGGATTGGATGTGTTCAGTATGCAGTGTTTTGACATATTATCAACTGTGCTGCTCATTTCAATAACCACGGCTGACATTGTGATTTTTGCTCTTTTCATAATCACACTCCTGAGGCGTAGAGGGAGGATCACTTGGTATGTAAGCTGTTAACTGATAACAGTATCTTATGTGCAGGCTCTCGCTGTCTGTCTGGGCTGCTCGGGGGGGCAGAAATGTTAGAATGTGTGTGTTTCCTGCCAAAACCTCTGAACTTCAGTTATTCCTTTAAAGAACAACGCCTCCTGTATGTGGCCAAATATTTTGGAGTGCAAAAAAATTGACGTTTCTGTCTTGCTTTGAAACTATTTTATTGCAAACGCACAACCTTAAATGTTGAGTGAAGTTTAAAGTTAATTGTTACGTTGTTAATTACTCCTTGAACTCCTTGCTGATATTTAATGTGAGCTTCATTTGATCTCTAGTCTCTTAGTTTTGCTTGTTGCAGGATTTTCTTTACACTCAAATTAATGAAGACACGACACTTGGAATAAACAATCCCCCTTTTGTATGTCAAAGGGAAGCGTGCAATAAAAATGTTCTATCCCATTTTCTAAGCACGAAAAAAATAAAGCCAATTAAACATATGCTGTGGAAACTGGTTGGTTTCCGCCCACACACCCTGCAACATAACGCCAACCTGCAGTGACACTTTGTTCGCCCCGTTGTCGTAATGTCCTGTCATTTAGGGGCGTCACAGTGCGACCGGCACGCTCGGTTTCCTGCATCCTTCCTCCCTGCAGGGGGTTTAGACATGAGACTTGGCCCTATTTGTAGTATCTCACACACACCTGGCTGAGTGGTTTGAGACCCCCCCCGCCCCCCCCTCTCTATCAGATCCATCCCTGTCGTCTAAAAAGCTTATTTTTGAGCTAATCACCTGCCACCTATGAATTCATAAACGGCGAGCTCACCTCTCAGCAGCCGGCTCTCTGGGATTAATCCCGCTACTAGTGTGCAAGAAGTGTCAGTTGAACAGCGACGATAACATCCGGTTGAGACTATTAATTCAATTGCTCCTTTTGGGTGGAGGCTGCTTTTAAACCCCCATTGTTATTGCGTGCTGCGGTGCTGGATGAAAATGTTATCGTGTGAAAAGGCAGAAAGGTCACACCGTGGGAGGGGATGTGTAACAGCGATTGTGTACTATTTGGACTCTAATAACTTTGACAGCATCCAATCCTCCAGAAACTACTCCACAACCTCAGGTACCCTCAGGTAGGAAGAACTTGCAGAAACATCCAAGTTAGCTTTACAGGAATGCACTTGGGCGACATTTCCCCAAAGCCTCACTTGTCTTTGTCCTAAGGAGCGTTGCTGCTTTGCCTCTCTTAATAGTCCAGCATCACCTTCTCCTCCGACCCAGAGCCGTTCGGGGGGGGCACAGCTTTGTGGTGTTTGTTAATGGTAATCATAGTTATCTCCCCCGAATCTGCAGTTTTGATGATTTATTGATGTTAAAATCTTCCTCATCTCCCGAAACAGGTCATTTAAAAAACTGATGATTGCTCCTTGATCACAGCACAACTGCCATTTTTAACCTTGGCAGGTCGGTCCGTGACTTTGACAGATGTTCACGGGTCAAACGCTTTTGCGGTTCTTGTTGAATATGAATTATCTTTGGCGCCGCACGGTAGGATGTGGAAGCCACTGCAGGTAGGGAGGCTTTACCAGCTCCACACTATGATGCTGATGGAGGAACCAGCAGCCATCAAATAGTCCTTTCACACACAGAATTGGCTCCCGTCTGAATATAGCTCTCAACTTCCCTCTAATGGAAATCTACATTCAAAGACATTTCTTATGGGATTAAGTTTAATCCGTGGCTGTGAAAGCAGCCTTAGACGGTCTCCATTCCAGCACTGTGTGTCTGCTGGCGCGTGTGCTGGACTGCGCGCGCCGCCTGGCAGATGCCCAGTAGAGCAGTGTGCGACTACTGTCAATTTCAGAGTTGGGATTAAAAAATAGATTGCGTCCCTTGGAGCAATCCTCAAACTTCCCGCAGCTAGTGTTGGGGAGAGGGGAGAAGGCTCCTAATTGACCCCCCCACACCCGACTCTCTTTTAACTGCATCCCATGCTGCAGACATGAGATTCTCCTTCTCTTTTTCAGTGCTCTTCTCCTCCTTCTCGCCTATTTGGCCCAATTTGTCATGTGGCAGATAAAAGCAGACAAATGGGAACTTGTTGCCCTTTTGGCAGGCGGCTGATTGGTCCCCTCTTCTCCCCTTCGATCGGCATGGACCGATTTGTTATAAACAATTATACATTCATGTGATCATCGCTTTCATGTTGCAGCTAGTTAAGATGTGGCTATTAATTCATAATTTATATATAATATATGTATCTTATCTTACCCAATAATAGGACACCACAATTCAAAGTAACTAGAAACTGAAGCTATTAAATCAATGTAGGACAGTCAAATATTTCCCTCTGAAGTGAAAGTAGAATGAAACGTTAACTACAAGAACTTAAATAATCACAGTAAATGTCTTCAGTTACTTTCCTAAGGAGATAACAATGCAGCTATGGAATGATTGCTCCTCTATTTACCGTGTTCCTTTAATCACCTGTCAGATTTTGAACAACCTGTTGCTCATTCCGACCCGTTTAAATAAGTAACGTCACCGGGGAAGCCGATCAGAGTGACGTTTTTCATTTGAAGTCTAGTTCGCCCGTGGCGGAGAGGAGCTTTGACTTGCAGTTATCCAGGCAGGCTCTACCCACTACGAGAAGACTCTCTCAGCCCGCCGTAAGCCCCCAATCGCGTTCCTACTGAGGGGACGAGTTTCATAAAAGTGGGGCATCAGTTATGTTGCCACGGCTGAGGATCCCGAGGAACGTTGGCCCTGTGGATAAAGTGCTGTGGGAACGACTGCAGCAGTCAGGAGATGAATGAAGCTCTCTGAGGAAGCTGAGCTGATTCTGCTGAGACACCCGGAAACCCGAAGATGCCTCGTCGCATTCCTCTCTTTGACTGCTCCCCCAGTGGATTTTTGTTTTACGGTGCTCCTTGTCAAAAAGCAAAGCACCAGAAGAGATGCTCGAGACCACATTTGACTTTCACTCCCACTTTCATCGCTCATTTTTTTTTTTTCGCTGCCTGGATTTTTCAACACCTTTTCTTTTTTAGAAAAAAGGTTGCCCGCTGTGCCTTCATGAGAGAAAGTGAGGAAGGATTGTGTGGGCGCAACATAGAAACTTAGTGCAAAGTACCACATAGGTATAGAGTAAAATGAGTTCCCTTTTAAATATCCCATATCTGTTGCTGCCTTTCCCCCTGACCGATTGTTCCCATCCTGACAGACGCTTGGGTCCACATTCGCTAGGTTTGTGCGCCTGAACCTTCCCAATCTCTCACACTGCACCTTTGACAGCCGCTGGCCTCCAGATCGGCACATGTTTGTTTCTAGGGTCGAGCCTTTCTGAGCAAAAAGCAATCAACCTCCTCCGTTGCTGTCAATCGCTCCTGCCCAGAGCCGGAAATTTCACAGGCTAAGTGGCCATAAAGGGATTTGGGAACAAGGAGTTTTTTTTTTAGCGATACAATAAGACTGCCTTTGTTTGAATTTCTTGTTCTTTGTTTAGTTAATTGCCAGGATCTGGGACTAAACTCCACAGAAATATGAGTGAAGCTTTAATAAACAGGACACATCCTTCGATTGGTTTCTCTTTGCCTCCCTCCTGCCCATCGCTAAGGGGAGAAAGCTGAAATGAAGGCCCGGCCGGACCACCGCAATTAGCATTAGCGTCTATCCCAGTAACTCATTTCACAGTCCTCCATGTGTAAGTATACGTGGCCGCACGGAGGCCTAAATAAATGCAGTGCCTCTCCAAATAAACAAAGTTGGATGTTTTCCACGCTCGTTGAGTTGTGGACCTGCTGTTTTCTGTTCATTTGTCTGAATATGAAATGCACTGTGTAATGTGCGCATGCATCCGAGAGCTTCTGTAACGCTTTCCACTCACTGCTCTGTGCACCAGCATCGCTGGCGGTGCAAAATATGAATGTGAATATTCAAGTTTGATTCATTTTAGCGTTTCTCCCCCCCCCCCCATTCCCCACAACCCGTCCAGGCTTGGTCCAGAAGGTTGACCAGCGCCTACCGGTGGCCAACGAGTACCTGCTGCTGTCCGGCGGGGCCCGGGAGGGGGTCCTGGACCTCAACCCCGAGGACCTTGGGGACTACGCCAAAGGGGCCGACTTCGACCTGGACTTCACCCTGCTGGTACCGGCCCTCAAGCTCCATGACCGCAACCAGCCCGTCACCCTGGACATGAGGCATTCCCCGCCCTGCCATTCGTGGCTCAGCCTGCGCCTCTGCGACTCCAACGTGATGTCCCGCTGGAGCATCTGCTGCCAGGAGGAGAGTGCATTTACCACCGAGGAGGAGGAGGAAGAGGAGGAGGCAGAAATGAGTAAGTGGAACAAGTGTTGGGAGGAAAGAGGAAGGACCGTAAGAACAGCAAGAGGAATTGGCCCATTGGATGAAGTAAAAAGGAGCAGCATGGGTAGTGCGACAAGAAAGAAAGAGGTTCCAAGTGAGAGGAAGACTGCTGGACTAGTATACATTAAAGATGAAGAGTGCAAGGGCAGTTTTGTTCATGTTTCAACAGGATCATATGACGCACTCCTCAGATAGTGGGAAGCGCCTCCCCAGAAAATACGCTAAAACATTTAGGATCTTCGCGATGGACAGACCGACGCGCCAGTTTCCAGATTATAACGCAACATCATTCTACCGCATGCGGGTTTGTGGGCTAAAAAAACATTCAACATTTCTGGATATTACTGACTTGATTGATTTCATTTTCAGCCGTTTGGGAAATGGGACATGGCCAGACTGTGTTGCAAAACTAACAGTTCCTTCGGGTTCTTCTGCTACAGTATTGAAGGTGGCAGGCCAGGTGGGGGGGGTTTAGTCAAGAGTCTGAATGCTACAGGAGTTCACTAAAAGTGACAGGGCCCTTTTGCTTTTGGCAGTAAGCCTCTTACTACAAACACTCACGAAGGCGTTTTAGGGCTGCAACAACATTCATTTTGCTTGGTTTCTCCAACCAGCAATTCAATATTGTGATGTATCTTATCTGCAAATGAGAGCCAGGGACTCTACCTCTACTCAGGTAGAGGCTCCATCCCCTCCCTGGACTCTCCTCATTCCCTGGATGGATGCTACTTCTCTCCCTCCCTGGTGACGGACTGGTTCTGGGGGGTGGTGAGCGAGGCCGTAGAGGAGCTGAGGCGCTGCCCCCAGAGAGGCATCCCCACACCGGACCGCCTTGAGAGGAACGGACCCCTCACCACCATCATCCTCCAGGTACAGATCGCTGAATCGATGACAAATGGCACTTCGCTGCGGAGTTGTCTTGTTGACAGAAGAGGTCCTGTTCACCGTTTGTCCCCGCAGGCCGGCTCCAGCCGGGTGCTGTACGACTTGCTGCCGGTGGTGTCCTTTCGGGGGTGGCCCGCCGTGGCCCAGGGCTGGCTGACCGCCAACCACTTCTGGGACGGTAAAATCACAGAGGAGGAAGCCATATCGGGCTTCTATCTGCTGCCCTGCTGCTCCCCGCTGGGCGGTCGGCCCGACAGGGAGTGGAGGCTGGCGTTCTCCCGCAGCGAGGTGGGGGGAGAAATTTGTAAACGCTTATGTTTATCTCAGCCTGTCTCGAGTTTCCCACTGTGTCTTTAATCCCGCTGATGTCATTGGTCCAGGTCCAGCTGAAGAAGTGCATCCCGTACCCCATGGCACAGGCCTTCCAAGCAGCCCGGGCCGTGTTGTCCCGCATCCTGGCCCGGCCCCGCGCGGGCCTCAGCCTCTACCACCTGCGCACCCTCCTCTTCTGGGCCTGCGATCGGCTTCCCTCCGCCTACCTGTCCTGCGCCGACGCCGACACCCCCGGCCGCCTCCTTCTAGGTCTCCTGGACGACCTGGCTCATTGCATCCTGGGTAAAAACTGCCCAAACTACTTCCTCCCCCAGTGCAACATGTTGGAGCACCTCACGGACAGCCAGGCGTTGCTGGTCGCCAGGAAGCTGGCCCACGTGCGCTCCGATCCCGGCGATCACCTGCGGGCGGCTCTGGACCAAGCCCAGCAGGCGGGCCACCTGAAGAAAGAGCTCACGGCGAGCACCAACGGCCACGGCTCGCCCGGGCACCACCCGGCCAACGGCATCATCTCCCCGTCGGACGACAAGCTGGCGCAGCGGCTGCAGCAGCTGGTGACCGAGAACCCTGGGAAGTCCATATCCGTGTTCCTCAACCCCGACGACGTGACCCGGCCGCACTTCCGCATCGACGACAAGTTCTACTGATGGCGCAGAGGAGACGCCGCTGGCTGGAAGTGAGGCCCCCTCCTTCTGTTCTCGGGCCGACGGATGCGGCGAAGTTTTGCTGCTCGACGAACTCTTTAAACCAAAAACAAACATGTCCTACTACTGAAAAATCCCGAAGCGGTTGCCATGGAGACGGCCCTCTCCTAACGAGCTGGCCTTAATGAGACTTATCAGCTGGTGCTACAAAGACGGACACGAGTCGTGTGAACTGCGTGCAGTGGAGCTCAGCACTGTGTGTTCGTGTGTGTGTGTGTGTGTGTGTGTGTATGTGTGTGTGTGTGTGCGCGCGCACGCCTTAGGGTTTCAACATTTTAAATACCTTTCTATAGACAGAGAGAAGAGCTCCTTGATTGCTGCATCTCTCTCCTCTTGTTTTGGACCCCCGGGGGGGGGCAGGTGTGGCTGATGTGGCTGATGTAACTGAATGTAACTGAACTGCCGAGGCTCTTTCCTCTTGTCGACGACGTTTCAGCCCTCTTTCTGTTTCAGCGACCACGTCTCCATTCACGGCATCTTTCATTTTGAAACAAATCTTTCTCAGGTATTCATAATCCTCGTTTTTGATGTATATGATTGCTTTTTAGGTCTTAAGCTACATTTCAATGCCGCTCACATTTCGTTGGGTAATGGGATGCACCAAAGAGCTGCGTTTGACTGGTCTTAAATGTCTTTCACACAGCACATTTCGGTCCAGCTCGATGGAGTTGTGGCCTGAATGTGGATTGAACCGTTCTCCCCGTCTGATGGTCCGGTCACACCAGCATTCCAAACAGCCATTATGCCCAAAGGAATCGGCAGCATACGTGGATGCTGAGGTTTGAGGGAGGGAGATATTTGCACATCCAGTTTGATTTCACCTAATTGGAGTCTAAACAGACCCACACATGACAAGACTGCTCTGTTTGCAGTCCGAGAGTAATGAAAGCGAGGGAACTAGCCTCCTAAATACTTTAGTTTCTATTCTTTCCCTTTGTGGTTGAAGTAGTTGCACTACTTTATTATAACAGGAGATGGCAACTGTTTTGATGAATGAGTTTATTGTTCCAGACTTCAAACAATGCCAAACATTCTCTGATTCCACCTCCACAAATAATGATGATTCAATGATTGTCTTTGACATTATTCAATGTAATTCAAATATAGTTGGTCTTTCGTTTGGCCGAATGGAAAAAGGTGGATAGTTTTCTGACATTTTACAGATGAAATATTTTATTTTAGAATTAAAAGTGAATGTCAGTTTTAACCACTGTATCAATGAGCTTCTAGACCATATATTTTTCCAGAAGCATAACTTGGGTGTGCAAGTGTCTGGCATGACCAGCCCTCAAAAAAGGAGGATATTTCATTATTTATATATATGACTTTGTTTTCAGTTGTGATTAATCAAACCAATCAAATTTGCGTATGAAAGCGTACTGATGGAGGCAGAGGAACGGAATCCGCTCCTTCGCCGTTTATCTACCAAAGTCACAACTGAGTCCAGGAACTGTCACACTGTCCCGCACCTGGCTGCACATCATGTCTATTCACTATTTCTAACGAGCTCCGTGTGCGTCTGTGTGTTCGCTGAGAGACGAACCGCGCAGCAGGAGACCAGCACCCGGCTGCTGCCCATTTGAATCCTCCCCCCGTGGGTGCGTGTTAGTCACTATGCAGGCGTTATCCTGTGTGAGGGAAGATGGGCCTTGCGGGACCTGGACAGCTGCCTCTTTCTCTGCTTATTTTCTAATTGTATTTTTTTGGTTATCCGCCGCTTTCACTGCCCCCCAGTCTCCCGGCATCCACAGGTCTCCACGGACAGATGGCATCCTTCTTTCTTATAGTTCTGGAGAGCCAGAGTAAAAAAAAAAAAGCTCCTCCAACCTCGTGTTTACACTCGCTGTCACAGTGGAGACAACGAGTACAATCAGACAGGAAGTGACCTCTATCTGCAAACTGAGGGGAAAACTTTGATCTAATGGGGTTACTAAGCGCTACAAAGCACATGAATGGGTAGTTTTTTTCTAATTATTACATGGTGGAGGTTAATTGTGGTGATTTTATAGCTGCTGCTGGTGGATTGTTTGTTCTTCAGACGGTTGGACTGCGCATACTACTGAATGATTCATATTGTTTGTTGCAGCATCGGTTTTTACTGGTGTGTGTGTGTGTGTGTGTGTGTGTGTGTGTGATACGTGAGGAAAACCAAAGTGTGTTGTAGAGGTTGTGATGCAGAATGTTTAAAGTAAATTTGTGTTTTCAGCACTTTTTCCAAGACTGACTCAAAAAGGTAGTTCTGACCAGCCCTCAAGAAAGGTCACAGCATTTATTTATTGGTAAACACAAGTCAATGTGACTGTCCGTGATGGGAGTGTTTCTTAGTTGGCGATAACAAGACGCGGTTAACAAGCCGCACGTGAATTAAAGCTCCGTATTTCACCATAGTGTCAGTTTGCAGATCTGCAGAGGAGCCACTACGGAACCCCTCTGATTCTAAGGAGGTTGCATAGAACACAGACGCTGCTGTCTATAATCATCACTGTTTTTTTGTGCTGAAACTTCTGATGATTCTTTTTAAATATTCAGTTGACTTGTGTGAATAAATTACTAAATACGATGAATAAATTACTGCATACGATGAATGTATCAACCGAATGTCTGTTTGGCATCAGCTCTAGTATTCACCGTTATCTGCACAGATGTACTGTGTAGTTCTGGGATAAGAATCTGTACTGAATCACTCCACAGATGGAGAAATTCAATTCTGTTTATTAGTTGTTACCCAATATTTTTTTATGTGTACTATTTCCTCTGTACCATGGTACCACGCCTGATTTGCTGTATTTTCTGGGGGTTTCTTTTGATCAAGCTTTGGCATGAAATAAATCACTACGTTTTAAATCATCGCGTGGAAATATATTCATCGTTAGTGTTACACATTCAATAAGCTCTCAGCATTATAGAGAGTAAAACAGGTCTGCAGTGTTGGTGCATTTAGGCTGCAGCACACGTTGGGTCCAGCAGAGGGCGCTCTTACACCGCGTACCGAGGACAGCTCGCGTCACATTGTGTTAGGAAGGCTGAGCGGATGGTCCAGACTGAACCCCCCACCCCCACACACAAACACACAGATCTTAATTATTTTAAGTGGGGAAGAGTCTGCCACTACGTGTCTCTTCGTAAAGGTCAGGGACAGATGTCACATTCTCCTGATGATCCTTGGACTCTTCGGTGTCTCCGCGCCGTAGCACTAACTCTGACGCGTGCATCATTACGGTTACGTAAGTTGCTGACATTCAATGCTACATATTTAGGTGGATCATTGATATTGTCCATCTCTTATGGAACAATTGAGTGCAGGTTGAGTCCTACTAATGATTTATGTGGTTTCTGCTTTCGCATTACTATCCAAATCGAAATATCAGAACACTGATGACCCTTAAATAAACTTTTCACAACTCAAAAGTGTCATTCTTCAGAGAATCTTAAATGTATCTGCACATTACAACAGTAGTCCAATAAGTTTCCTTTCAAAATGAAATGTCCATCACACACTGGTAAACATGCTGATGCTGTGCACATGCAAAGGGCCCATGTGGTTGTCTGCAGGCGCTCCATGACATTTGGACATATTTAGCCGTTGTCTCACATCAGCTATGTGATGATGGCGCAGATGTTTCTTCTACAAACACACATATCATCTACTTTAAGGCCCTGCTCACCCGCGTGTTAAGACACTTCATCTCAGCGTGGCTCCTGTAGTTGTGACTATGTGAATGCCTGTAAGTTCCTCTTTCAGACTCCGATTCAGACGCTTCCGATGGGTTCCTCTACCGCAAACTCATCACCTCCACAGCCATTGGATTGCCGTGAGATTTGATGCTGTCCTCTTCGGGGGCCGGGGGAGATGTGTTGACTCTAGGAGATCCCTCAAAGGGGCCTTCGTCCACGCAATTAGATCGGCGGCAGTGGAGTCGGCATGATGTCGCTGCATGAGCGACTTTGCAAACACTTTTCATCCCCTCGATAAGTGAAGAAATGTTTAGTTTACTGCTGTCCCGAAGAGGCCAAAGCCCCAAACAATTAGAGCTGGTTGTACTTTGTCAATAGTCGCGTGTTTCTAAACAGTGTACTCTTTGTTTATTTCACGTCACTTTGATAAACTCGGCTTGACTTGATGACAGAGCGGCCCAGCCGGACAATTTCCGTTTTATTTTATTATTGACGTTTTTTTTCCTTTTCTAATAAACAGAGGTGTAGACTCGGATAAGCTATTCATGCTGCAAATGAAAAAGAAACATTGCTAATATATTTAAAAGTATACATTTTCATTTTTTTTCCATCCAATTCTGATTCGAATTAAAATGTATTTTTAAATTTGTCCACTTCGGTGTCTCTTGCCAGTAATTGTGTCCAAATCTCCCCCGTAAATAGGCCACTGTAACCTCAGCCCTCAGGCATCCTTGACAAAGTGTGTGTGTGTGTGCGCGAAGTCATGTGTGTCTGTGAATGAGGCCAGGCTGTAACTCCACAGCACCGGCTGTCTGTCACTGAGAAACTGGGGCTGAACGGAGACATGTGTTCACCTGACACACACAGCCGCTGGTGGCTCAACCCGTCATCCTCGTTCCTTCCTGCTCAAATGAAGACGTTTGTCTTCCAGGGGGGGGGGCTATAATAAATCCAGAACCTCGACCTAGAAGCGTTTAGGAAGGAAAGCTGGATGTTTTAACGTCTTAACGCCTCACTTACCTGATGGAGTTCACACACAGTGATCTGTGTGTGTGCGCGTGTGAGACACAAACCCTCTAATCCCTGTTATTTTCTGATGACTGGTCAGTGCAGCACATCCCCTACATCTCTCATCCCTGCCCAGGACAAAGCTCCATACACACTCTGCTGTTTAATATTCACACCCCACCCTCGTACCCTTTGTGTGTTTGTGTGTGTGTGTGTGTTAAACCTGAACGCATGCCAGCGTGCATTAATCTCCATTATTGAATCATGTATATCCAGAGTTCGGAGGAGGGAGACAGAGGACGAGCGACATGGTTCTCATGCCGGTCACACGTCCCCGGGTGTCTCCCCACCTTTTACCCTTGTGCAGCTTCAGCTGGGCTTTTCACACACACGTCGCTCGTAGCCGACTGTTCGTCTCACACCGCTAAGCCGAGAGCTCCTCGTCTGATGAAGAAATCCACGACCAACGCACCCTTTTGACCGTGTGACCGCTTGCGCAGCTGCGGTTTTATTAGCCACTATGTATTCTCCAGGAGCTCCCATCA